AAACAGGAACTTCTGTTGTGAGTCACCATGGCTGGACCTATGTTGGGTTCCATTCCGCTTGTAAAGTAAGAAGATAAGGGTTGTACTAGCAATCTTAACACAGTGGGACCTGTTACCTGGATGGAGGAGCAACTTTGAAATAAATGAGCTGGCTCCCAACACAGAAGAGAGGCACAAAAATTGAGAGGGGTGAATTTCCTTACAAGTTTAAATGAAATCTCTGCAGTCATGGGGCGCATGACTATATATGCATGCTAGCAACCACATAAACATCAGGGGCTAGATTCACCGGAGTCGTTCTCTCTCTCTAAAATTGAAACAGACCAGTGTGAGTGTAGAGTTCTTAGCTTGATAACTGGCCAGTGTTTACTCAAAGTGGACTTTTAATGTTGCAGTCAACATCTGAGTGAAGACAGTGGGCTAGATCCTGGTCTTTGTTCCAACTGCTGTGTGTGCCACTCAAGCAATATAAGAGGCAGAATGCCAGTTTAAATTTATTCCTCTGGAATACGAGACCCACAGATGGTGTAGAGTCAGTGTAGTGTTGAACTTTTGGCTAGGAAAAGGGGGTGTTTGGGAGAATTGTAACAGCTCTGTCCTCTAGGGATCCCCAGCTCAGGACAGCCTCCTCGGGGCCATTAAAGCCAGGAATAAGTTAGAGCAGACTAGTGGCTGCTCTGATTTCCACTGGGGGCCAAACTAGTGCCTCTAGCTGGCCCCAAGATTGGGAAGGTGCAGACGTAGTATAAAGCCTCCTTTGAAAGCCTGTGTGAAGCACAGCTGAGCTACTGTGGCCTTAGGCACCCCTGTATTCACACCCTACACACTACTGCAATAATATTGTACAAAACATGTCTTGTGAGGTTCCATATGAAATCTAACACATGCTGGTTATTAATATAATTGTAAAATGCATGTGTTAACCTTATATGTGAAGTTATGGATTCCCTGTATATGCTGTTACTAGAACATGTTGAAGACAAGACAGTCTAGCCTAGGTATAGGTGGTAAACAGGTCTGTCCTAGACAGAGGAATGTGGGTTTACCTCAATTTACATAGTAGCAGTAAACAAAGCCATCAAGTTAACCCGCATGGTTATCCTGAACTTGAGAGAGAAAGAATTAACATGGCTTCTGCATCCCAGAGAGACACGGGAAATTGAATCCCCAAAGTAGCCGTCTTGACTTCTAAGACAAAGACATGCCTTAGGGATAGAAAGAACAGAGTGTGACTCCATCTTCATCCTTCACCTTAGGGGACAAAGAAATCAAGTGATTTGATCCCTATGAGGATCCTGGTCAGTAAAAGGCTGGAAAGGAGACTGTGGGTGGGAGAACAAAGACTGTATTTCTGTATTAAGTTTTAGACTTTTAGATGCATGCTTTCACTTCTATGTACTTGTAACCATCTCTACCTTTAGCTCTTTTACTTGGGATTGAGTGATACCCGCTCTTTTGTTAATAAACTTGTTTTACTTTCATAATAAATCTTCAGTGCTGTGTAAGTTCAGCAAAGTGTGTGCTTCTAGAAAGCCGACAGGTTGGAGTGTTGTATTCTGTAAAGGCCGTGAACCAAACACTTCCTCTCATTGCACCCTCACAGAGAGACTGGTCCCTGAAGAAGGACGATTTAGGGGTGAATTCAGAGCTTGAAGGGTACTAATGTCAGCTTGAGAGGAGTAACCAGGTTGGGCAAAGCCAGGGTGAGGCTTGTGGGCTGCAGCCAGGCTGTTGAGGTCGGAGCTCTGGACCAAAGATGCACAGCCATTAAGTCCTTCTTAGTTTGAGTTCTTTGCCTCTCAGGTACTTGGGGTTGCTCTTTTATTTTCTTAACTAAGCACAATAGATCACGTTGGGAAGTCCACAGTAGGCCGATAAGACAGAAGTAACCAAAGAAGTAATCCCCTACCCCCTGCCACACACTCATTGTCCTTTCCTATCCCTACCCCTTCCATTGTCTTTTAAACATGTGGGTGTTTCTCACCGTGACTATAGTATAGTCCAAAGAAGGACCCCACAAAGATAATACCCTTCCCAGGAGCAGGTCATGTGAACAGTTATTGGCGATCACATCACAGTTCAGATTTTTTTAGATGAGTTGTAGCTTCTGTTGCTGGGGTGTGCCAGATGTATGTTAGTACTCATTGTCTGAAGATAGATGCAGTCTTTGGTTTTGTTTGTTTACCCTGGTTTTATAAGTTGGAGGCAATGGAGGTCTAAATTTAGCTCTCGGTACTAATAGTTGCTATTAAGTTGTGCAGAGCTCTCATTGTTCTGCGTGTTCCGGCCCTGGACCACATACCTTGGATTAGTCTGAAATTATCCCCTCTGGCTGTGATGGAGGCTGACATATTGAAGGACTCTGAAGACGGCCACTTCTATTTTCATTGGAAGAGCCAAAGAGAAGATCTTCTTGTTCTATGAACAGAAGCTGTATTTAGTGATATTTTTTTTCTTTCATCTGTTGTAAAAAATGGGAGCAGTAGGACTATAGTAATGAAAGCTGCGGAGCCCTCTGTCTGTGAAAGTGTATTGATTTTAAGGTATGTGCAAAATTAGATTTAAAGAGCTTGACAATGAGAGAAGTGCTAGATGCTGTGCTCCTAGATTTTTTGGAGCCCAGGTAGTCCATAAAACGACTGGCCCCTCCCAACAAAATCACATATCCTATTGCTCAGAGTCTGCAATAGACTGAGTAATGACACTTAATCAGATTGGAACAAAGGGGTACAACTGTACCGCAATCACTCCTGCCATTAGGGACTGGGTTTTATTATTATTTCTTTCAGCATTCAGCTGGATTTAGCTAAAGGGGCAAAATACAAATGCTCAAGCCAAAAGAATCAGTTTTCATTTTCAGTGAGCTACTGAAAGGTTCTGTACTATAACAAGGAAGCTGCTTGAGGTCACAGAAAATAAGGACATGCAGGTTGTACCACAGCCTGTTTGTGATTTGTACTCTGTGGTTCAGTGTAATGGATGGGGGAGGGGAGAAAGATGGAAGGAAAAACAATATTCAGATTTCCAGGCTAGACCTCGATACTGGTTAGAATATGCATATATGATACTGCAGTATACGTTCCCAGCCACAGTTGGAGAGCTTTTCTGAGAGTGCCTTTTGTGTACACTCTAGAAGATATGTAAGATTGCAGATTGAGAATGCAAGGGGAAAACTATAATTATAGGCAAGGAACAGCTGCTCAAAACTGTCCTACTGGCAAACACTTGAGCTGCATAATAATATTTCTGTGGCAGCCTTTTGGTTGTAACACTTAGTCCCTCGGCTGGTTGTTTTCCATGTTTAAACTGGACAAGTACTTAGTGTTTGAGTTCTAACTATTAGTTATAATATGCAGGAGTGATGAATGAACTCATGTCATGTATAGAAAAGCTGTGCTGATGCAACTTAAGATGGATTTATTTCATACATGAGAGAACAGTCCTTGATCTAGACATTTGGTCTGATTCTCCTTTCATTTAAACTGGAGTAAACCAGGGGTAAGTTTAAGTTAAATGGAGTAAAGCTGGTATAAGTGAGAGGAGAATCAGACTAGTGTATGGATCAGTCTCTTGTAAAGTGGGCAAGTAGAATGTTGTAAGGGAGATCACTGGGGTTTTTAGTAGGCAAGCAAAACATTGTTTTGTTTGTGTGTGTGTGTTTTTTTTTATTTTTTTTATTATCCCCAGTCTTCGTGGTAATAGGTGGGTAACTAGATGTTGCTGGTAAATTTTCATTGCACATTTGCAAGGTGTGATGGCTGTATGATGCATCTCCTGAGGGAGTTGGGAGTTTCAGAGGGTGACGGGCACCTATCTCCTTTAGGAACTTCTGAAAAATCTCACCTGTAAAGGAAAGAGCACTAATTTTGAGTTTTCATTTATTCTGCATGCATTGGAAACCTAGGGATCGTGTCAGTTGATTGCCAATAGAGGATCCTCTTCCCCAGACTCAGTATTCATACTTACCTCTACAAGAAAAAAATCATGTTCTGAAAAGACCGGACCCATTTTGCTATGCCCAGCAGTCCTAGTTCACCAAAAACTATGAAAATACTTGCCAATAAAGGGCTTGGGTTCCCCTAGATACTTCTTCACAATTACTCAGATGCATAGTTTGTGTGTATGTGGGGCCTTCAAACCACATTACCTACCTGATGCTCGTCAGCTGAAGGGAATGCATCTAGCAGGCAAAAATGAGGTCTTGGCCTGATCCATCCTTTTTCTTCAAGCTACTTTAAAGAGACCACACAAATTGTGGGAAGAGAGAACACAAATTCCTCCAGGCTACAGGCAAAGGGAGTAATGCTGCTTCCCCCCGCCACCCGGCTCCCTTCCTAATGTTTGACCCTTTTACTGCCTTTTTCATACATACCTCTCCAACCATCAGCGGCAGCTATCTTTTATGCTCCTCCACATTTCCACACTCCAGCTCTGGCACCCCTGATTCCTTAGCCCATGACCAGATGCCACTCGCGCTCACTTGTCTGTCCCCTCCCAACCCAACTCCCAGTTTGGGGAGTGATTTATGAGCCATTGGATGGCCCAGGGGACTGATAAGATGGAGTGAAAATGACTGCGTGTGACCTATGTGAAATGAGTTTGGAGTGGCAACTGGCATTAACCAGCCAACTTGTTGGCAAAGACATCAAAGATCCAAGCAGTCATGAAGACTTGAACTACCCCTCATCTTTAGACTTGCTCCCCTCAGGTCTGGGTTGGTGCAGACTGGTGAGACTATATGGGAAAGCTTGTGCTGCTGCTGCTCATACTGTTACGTATATGTTGTGTGGTTAAATACAGAAGATCATTCTATGGCAGTGTCAGTCTGGTACCTGAATAGAGTGTTACCGTGTTTTAAGCAATGTAATGTTAATTATTTTCAGAAGCCAATGAATAAATGACCACAAGTATTTTGGATCTGAATCTCCTCCACTGAATCCATCGCTTTTCATTGCCTATGATATCATGAAGTATGTTTTCATGTCCTTTGCTTTTTTTAGACTACTACCTCAATATAGCAGATGAACCTACCTCTCCTAAGAAGCCTAAGAATGCCCCTGAGCACTATGACTTTGAGAGCAGGTGTTCGGCCCTTTCCTCTGATTGGACTTCTGTGAGAATCATCCCAGAGGAAGAAATGACAGAGCACAACCTTCTGGCCATTCGAGTCATGGTAACCAGTGATGGGAGCAGGTATATAACCTATAACAAAAAATCCATCACAAAGCTGGATCTGTTTCTCCCAGGAACAAGTTATCCACAACGTGCAGTGCCTGGGTTTCTTCAGACTGTGCTCATAAAACAATTGAATATGGCACACAACAAAAACCCAACAGAGAAATCAATGGTTTCTTCCTGCAGCTGTTAACCTCCCCTAGACATATGACCCGCTTAGCAGGGAATTTTCAGATGTTCACATCCCATCCAAGGGCCTGAGTCACATGATCCCTGGTCTAACCAAGTTCAGCTATTCATTTTCCAGAAGTGACAGTATATCAATTAGAACAGTGGGAGTACAATCATGGCAAAAGTGAGTCACATGACATGCCTCCTACCTCTCAAAGAGGCTTCCCTGCCTCAGTTGTTCTTCTGGTCATATGATGGGACTTTCCATCCTTATGGAATTAGAAATCTGATCATCCTTTGAGACTTTTGTAAGGAAGCCCAAGTCTTATATAAAAATGGAGAGAACATCTTAGACTTCTGTGCTCAACTCTTGACAGAGTCCTGTAGGAATCAACTTGCACCTCTACAATAAAGGCTAGATCTGCATTTTTCAGTGAGAGCAATTCTGCCGACTTAAAATAAAAAATCTGTTGCAAATGCAAAAAGCTTTGGTTAATAAGGAGCATTATTAAAATTATAGAAATCCTTTAAAATATCCATTAACGTTCTTTTAGCGTTTGCTAAAACTAGATAATGTGGTCTTAGAAAATAACTTATTTCCTACGAATGTCTTGCATAACTCTGCACTGTGTCACATGTCTGGATATATCAGTTAATGTGCATTTCAGACAGAGGGGGGAAAAATCCATTCCAGGACTCATCTGTTACTGCCACAAGGGTAAACATAACCTCGGGGAGGAAGAGAGAAAACATTTTGTAGTATGGAGGCTTACTGTGCATTATATGCTTGGAACCGACAATAATACAGTGTGAGGGACAAGGCGGCTGACGTAATATTTTTGTATTGGACCAACTTCTGTTGGTGAGAGAGACAAGCTTTTCTACGGCTGTGTAAGCTCTCTAATAATCTAGGATGGACATGGCTACAACAACATTGCATACAATAATACAGTGTGGCTGTTTGTACTCTCCAGTGGCTGGACCACATACAGATGTTTGAATCTGCTACAGACTCTGAGCTGATGTATCCGGTCCTTTTGCTCAGGCAATAGAGACTTATGCTTTCAATTCCAGAGGTCTTTGATTTAGTCCCAGCAGGAAACCCGGCCTAGGATGGCGTTGCATCTGTCATCAGAATGGCTTGCGCCAGCTCTGCTGATATCACTTTCCTGGTATTACACTAAAGCTGTAATCATTTGCCTGACGTACTAGAGAGGGTACTTCAGTCAGTAGATACTTCAGTTGCCTAAAAAGGGAGGCAAAATGAAATGCCCAGTGACAACTGACATTCCATGACTTAACGGTGCATTCTGCCCATGGGATTCTCAGTAGGAGGATGCAAATGAAAAGCTAGGTAAAATATTACTTGCATCACAAAGGCCATTGCCTTCTTAGTACTAGCTTGAGATACTTATGAATAATGACCACCTAATGAGTGAAGATCAGAGGACAAACCTCATACTGTGGTATTTATACTTTTGCCAGCCAAGGAAAATAAATACTTTTAAACAAAAATATATTTATCAAAACTAGTGGCATTTCCATTTTCTTTTCTTATGGCACAGTGCCCAGTCACAGTGGTCAATCAATCTCCATTAATTATCTTGACTATCAAACACTTAAACAGGGTTTAAATAAAAATAGTTTTCAGGCTTTGTTCGTTTACTAGAAATCAAATCTGATGCTCTAAGAGGAATCTATCAGCTATTGCAGGGGCGGGCAAACTTTTTGGCCTGAGGGCAGCATCGGGTTTTGGAAATTGTATGGAGGGCCAGTTAGGGGAGGGGGGCGTGGCCCAGCCCTCTCTCCCTCCTCCCTCCCCCCCCCCGCTTCTTGCCCCCTGACAGCCCACCCCTGGGACTCCTATCCCATCCAATCCCCCCCCCCATTCCCTGACAGGCCCCCGGGTCCCCTGCCCCATCCACGCACCCGCTCCCTGTCCCGGATCACCCCCGGAACCCCTGCCCCTGACTCCCAGGCTGCCCCATCCAACCCCCACCCCCTTCCTGACTGCCCCCCCCGGACCCTTGCCCCCATTCAACCCCCCTGTTCCCTGACCCCTATCCACACTTCCACCCCCAGACCACCACCCCGAACTCCCCTGCCCTCTATCCAACCCCCTGCCCCCTTACCACACTGCCTGGAGCACCGGTGACTGGCGGCACTACAGCCATGCACCGTGCAGCACAGAGCACCTGGTCTGGCCACAGCTCTGCAGCTGTGCTGCCCCAGGAGCTCGCAGTCCCGCTGTCCAGAGCATTGCGCTGGTGGCAGGGCGAGCTGAGGCTGCGGGGGAGGGGGAACAGCAGGGGTGGGGCCCGGGGCTAGCCTAGGGTGACCAGATCACACAGGTGAAATATCGGGATGTGGGGGGAGGGAAGGGGGGAGCAAAAAAAAAAGCCGGTGGTGGAGCAAAAAAAAGCCGCCGGAACAGCCGCCGGAGCTCCACGCTCCACCCTGCCCCCCCTCCCCGCACCAGTATGCCTCCGCTCCGTCTCCATCTCCCCCCTCCCTCCAGCGCTTGCGCCGCCATACAGCTGATCAGCGCAAGCCTGGGAGGGAGGGGGGAGGAGGAGGAAAGCGGCGTGCTTGGGGAAGAGGCGGGGCCAGGGCGGGGATTTGGGGAAGGATCCAATGGGGCAGTGAGGGGGTGGAGTTGGGGGGGGGGCGTGAGCCCCCTGCGGGCTCCACTCCGCCTGTGAGCGGAGGCAAAATATTGGGACAATTTGCTTCCTAACCGAAGGTAGGTTGGGACGTGGGACAAATAAGCAAATATCGGGACAGTCCCGATAAAATCGGGACATCTGGTCACCCTAGGCTAGCCTCCCAGGCCAGGAGCTCAGGGGCCGGGCAGGAGGGTCCTGCGGGCCGTAGTTTGCCCACCTCTGCTTTAAGGGTAGTGAGGGGGGGTTGTAGCCTTCTGCTCCTCCAAAATTTCTCTACCTCACATTCCCCTTCTCATCTTCTTCCCACACTATCTGTGCTACAACCATGAACCATCCACTCCTCAGAACAAGGGCTCACTGAGCACCCTGTCTACTCCTAACAAATAACAATGCACCAGGCTTATGTCAGCCCAGGGCTATTAGCTGCACAAATTGGGTGTTAATGCCAGTTCCCAGGTGGTCTTGAGACAGACTTCAACAATCACCAACTTCATTCATATCTAAAGCCTGTCCTGGGGTTGCCTGGGGAATTGGAATAAACGTCCTGGGTGGGCCTGACTCTCCGGCTGGATTTGCCAGGGTTCGTGCAGCAATGGTTCTTGTCATGAAAGGCGGCGGGAGGGGGTTCCCTGGCACAGCCCCAGGGATCTCTAAGGAGGAGTTTGGGTGGTGGTGGCTCCTGGGTTAGTCCCACTTGGGAAAGCTTTTTAGTGACATTACTCTGCCTTCATTCATCTGTGTGGACAGGTAGACATGGTGAAAACCTGCCTTTCTACTCAACTTCAGCTTTGTTTATGCTAAACCATTTTCTGAACCAAATACAAATTGAACCAACTCTTAGTATCCTGAAAATGTCAAGTTAAAACCCCGATTCTGGGTGTATTCATGCTCAACCCAAATTTGAAACACCGGCCTAATGTCTAATTGCGTTTATCACTGTGCTGTATTTAGCATGTACCATTAAAATCACAAAGTAAAAATAATAATAATAATAAATTATTTATTTAAGAAACTGTTCAGTCCAGGGCACTGCAGAATTATTATTATTATTATTATTAAGGAAAAAGCCAGAAATTATATTCACATTACCATTATATCGTGTTGCTAGCATGATGGGCATTAGACATTCAGGTATTTCCCCCTCTTCATTTAACAGCAGACTTGTAGGAAGACACACTTAACTTGTTCAGGACAAAGAAGACCCACTATAATTCAAAAGGAGACTCTGACTCTCAGCAGCAGATTTCAGACTTTGAATATAATTGTCCATGGCTATCATGGTCTTAATCAGAGTTATAAAACTATTGGGTTTATTGCAGTTTTCAGGACATAGTATTGTCAGCAAATTACATTCCCAGAGCAAAAAATAAATGTGGGGATGGAGACCAGCTGTAAAAGTCACATTATATCACACACTTTGCTGTCAGGATTTATTGCATTAAAGGTGATACTTGTAATTAAATCCATAGCATGTGTTTTCTAAAATGTTTGACTTTCTCATTTTATTTTATATTTTTAGTTCAGAGCTGGAATCTGATTTTTATGGTGACTCATTGAATTCTGAAATTAGTGAAGGACAGATCTCATTGCCTGAGCATGTGTCCCATACAAACCCCATAAGAAAGCATGCATTGCTGACCACCAGTTCTGTGAAGGAAGAAGAGTGCTGTGAAAAGTCCAAAGCTGCTGATGGTAAGTGAATCCATTGTAAATAAACTAGCCCAAGCCAGTTATGCTCCAGCTACTAAGCCTGTTTGCTGTTTCTGAGGGTGTTGTCAAAGCAGATAGGATCTTGTTGGTATTATCAGTGATGCAGTAAGTTTATAACCTATAAATACTATCTTAATTCTTTGGAAGACTTCTTGTCACGGTTCACTGCCTCTAGATACTGTAACAGGATCCAGCAAAATCCTCTTTTTCCCTCTTTACATATTGTTTCAATCAAATAACTAAACCCCTATGAACCAGCAGTGTGAACATAGGCTCATGTAATGAAGGAACTGTTCAGTCCAGGGCACTGCAGAATTCTTAATTCTGATCTTGATTCTAAATAGTGTCGTGAGAGTTTGCACAACAATTAGGGTTGCCAGTTTTGGTTGGATGTATTCCTGGAGGTTTCATCATGTGACATCTTTAATTAAAGATTTATCTTTAATACCTGGAAACTTCAGGACAATCCTGGACGGTAGGCAACATTAACAACAATAGGAGTATCTTATCTACCCTAGAGGGCTCTACAGAAACAGACAACAATGCCTTGGTATCAAGGTACTTAAAGCAGTTCTGTCCCCATGCTTAACTCATGAGATGAATCCTTTCCTTGTGACACAATGTCGGGACACTCCGATAGAGGCCCATGCTGTGTTGCCTAGGCATAGCAGGGATGAGTCAGTGTCCTCACGGGAAGCAAGGAGGGTGCTCAATTTAATTTATTTCTAGATCTGTGACTGATTAGAAGTTTTTCTCCATTGAAAGACTCCATTGGGGGGCAGGATAGCTCAGTGGTTTGAGCATTGGCCTCCTAAACCCAGGGTTGTGAGTTCAATCTTTGAGGGGGCCACTTAGGGATCTAGGGCAAAATCAGTACTTGGTCCTGCTAGTGAAGGCAGGGGGCTGGACTCAATGACCTTCAAGGTCCCTTTCAGTTCTAGGAGATAGGATATCTCCATTATATTTATTTATTTAAAATATAATGGGGGAAAGGTTGTAACCAGAGTGAAGGCAATTAGACACTCAAGAGCTGTATAGATAGGCGGTTCTATCTGGAGCCAGAGTTAAGAGGAGAAATTCAGAACTGGAACTTGTTTAATAATTAAAAAAACACAACTGTCTCTGAAGAGCTATTGCCAACTGGTAGGAGCTATATCATGTTGTGTGGTTCAATCATAACAATCTGAGGCCTTGAAGAATCCTTTGTGGGTCATGGCAGAAGAAAGGGGCTTGGCCAGGGTTTTGATCTGTTTGCGCAATCTGGAAGGGTTAACACTAGAATCTGGAGGGCACTTTTCAAGAACTTGTGGCAGAACAAGAACAGAGGTAGATAAATCTCCATTGCTGCATGATTTCCACCTACCAGCAATAGTAAAAGAACTGGAGTAGCCTCCGGCAAGTCTTGGAAAAGGAATACTGTCCTGCTTTTAAAGGGAAGTTCAAACCCCATCCCCCTACTCTTAACACAAAGAAGCCAAGTGCAGCCAGCCTGAAATATGTGTAACCCCCCCAACTTCTCCAAGCTCATTATCAGAAGCAAGCTCCCCACAGACCGGGACTCACCAACTCAAAGCGGCACCAGGCCCTGCCAGAACAGATGCAAAACCTACATATATATCTCCACTGTTACGATGATCAACACCCCCCACAACACACCTTTCAAGATCCATGGATCCTACACATGCCTATTACAACATGTGGTATACTTCCTCCAGTGCACTAAATGCCACAATAACTGGTGAAATCAGACAATCACTACACTGTCGAATGAACTCTCATAGGAAAATAAGACAAAAACACCTGTGGGTGAATACTTTTCATAGAGCAATTGCTCTATATCTGACCTATCAGACCTCATACTCCAAGGAAACCTGCACAAACTTCCAAAAGACGAGCTTGGGCGCTTAAATTCATTACTCTGCCAGACACTAAAATCATGGACTGAAACAGAGACACTGGATTTATGACTTATTACTACAATCTGTAACCCACTAACCCCCTCTTTTTGTCCTACGACTTCAGAGGAGTTAACAGGTCACCCAACCCTGAATGATCCCTTACAATATATGCTAAACTATTTATGCTAAACAACCTGTTCCACCTTGCATTTTGCTGTGATGCTCGGAGTACCTTTGCCAAACCTCAAGAACAAGCTTTGTGTAGCTTGAGAGCTTGTCTCTTTCTCACCCACGTTGTCTCAGTTTGAAATATCTGCAATTAATGACATAGAAGCCTTGGTTGCAGCATAAGTATGGGATCTGGAGGAGATGGAGCAAGAAAATGATTCAGCAGGTGTTTTCATTTACAGATTAGATGATGCAGGTGGGAACCAATAACTTGTTTAGCTGCAGTGGCTGGATAGTAATCAGGATGGATTTGGGATGGGTGAAACTTTTCTGCTGGGCTAGGGAAAAAAGACAGAGATGATGAATAGGTAGATAAATTGTTAGAGGGAAAAATAAAAGAAAACCATTGTTTAAGATTAAAGGAGGTAGGAAAGAAGGATGGTATAAGAGTAAACGAACCAGAGCGCAAAACAGGAATGAAAGAGAGTGAATGCCACAATGTCAGGAAGCTTTTTCTGTTTCCCCCTGAGCTCTAACCTCTTATCCTGTCTCTCTCCCAAGATCACCTTTCTACCAAGGGTCCCAGGCATAACCACCAGACACTACTGAATTAGCCTCATTAATGTGTGGACCAGATATTTACCATTCCAAAGGCCTGGTTTTGCTATTTTTACCTGGATTTAACACGGTCTGGCCTCTGGGCAGACTGTATTGTAACCAGATTTATGAAGCTGCTTTTACTTTAGGCCTAGTCTGTGCTTTGTGTGTTCAGTTTCTAAAGGTTGTTAGAAGAGGATAAAATCTGCTAACGCTCCTGGATGTCATAATGTTGTTTCAACTTAATTTGTATATTTAAAATATGTGGATATGTTAAACACAACAGTATTCCTGGAATTCTTAACAGGTTTTACTTTTAAATAGGAGCACTTTATAGTTTGTAATTGACTGGGTTCTTTAATTCCCCTCTCTGCCCTCCCCACTCCCCATCCCCACTTCACTGTGTTCCAAGCTTCTACTGCCTTTAATGGGAGGTTGCTGAGAGGAATACCATGTAGCATTAACTCCTCCCACTATTCCTTCATGTGAGGGGACTCTGCCAGCATGTGACACAGTGGCAGTGAACTCTCAGGGAAGTAATCTGGTTTAAAAAAAAACCCCAAAATCATGCTTAATACAAAAGGCAAAGAATCTTGCATATCTTGTTAATTAACTGTTTTACTAAGGAGTTCCTTGTTTAGTGCAACAATGAATCACAACACATGCCCACCAGAACGTGTCCACGTTGTAATATAATGAGGGCAGTCCTCTCTCCCACTCCATTCTATCCAAACTACTGCTTCTAAAGTCATCTTCCTCTCTAGTCCCTCTCTAGTCTATATCTGACCCATCAGTCTTCATGTTCACTGGAAACCTGCACAACACTTTCAAAAGACGAGCCTGGGAGCTTAAACTCATAACTCTGACACTAAAAATCAGGGACTGAATAAAGACACTGATTTTATGACTTATTAGAACAACCTGTAACCCACAAGCCCCCTTTTTTTGTCCTATGACTGCAGGGGGGTTAACAGGCCACTCTACTATGAATGGTCCTCACATACAAGGTACTACATACTGTCATCCCCCACCTGCATCTTTGCCCTCTGTCACCCCAATTTTCTCTTCCCCTTTGTCCCCTTCTTCCCCATTATGCATGAGGTTATGTTCCTGCTCTCTCGTTCTCTTGGTAGCTATGAGGTGAAGCCAACATTCTTTCTGGGATAAGCTGTCCGAAATTAAGTTTACTGCATTTTGTGTATCCCTATGGAAAGGTTAAATACTTTTTAAAAAATAAGCCACTGTTTGGACGCTGGGCTTTTTTCTTTGGTGGTTAATATACCACCACATGAGTAAGAGAAACAGTGACCACACTAGACATGAACTATGTAATACAAATGGGCTTCTGTGATGTAAACAATTTGGTAAAAGTTAACTATAACATATGAAGGAGAATGCAAATAAAATAGTTGTAAGGATTGGCTTTGTGGTTAGCACTTGTTGGTGAGTGTTGCCCTCTATTGGCAAAAGTCTGCATTTTTTTAAATGCAGCTTCTTGCACACCAGCTGCTCAGAGCAACTGGTTAAAAATCAGGCCTAATGATTTTACAGAGCAAAAAATGTCATGTTGCAAGTCCTGTTACCTTACAATAGTGAGAATTATTTTCTCAGTGGTTCAGCATTAGGACACACTGCCCCTCAGTTTACTTTTCACCGAGGTCTCTGTCTGTAGGATTTTACTTCACCAAAACAACCGCAGGAGGCAGGTGCAGGTGATTCGGAGGGCAGAAGCAGCAGGGCTCCAGAGAAGAGGGGGAATATGCACTATGTACTCTGTCTGCTTCTTTCAGAATAGAACAATTACAACGTTCTGTACTGGCATTATGACTCTCTTACCATGTTTAAACTAGTTTTATAGAAAGTCTAGTTTTGTAATAACTCTCTCTATTTGCTTAGCTTGTTAACAATGTCTCTTTCCTATTTCTCTGAAGCACTACAAAGAGCCAATAGTTTCCACTCCTCTACACTGAATAAATACCAGAATTGGAGAAGAAAAATTCAATCTAGTAAGTAAAGCCTTAGAATCAATTGAATTTTCTATTTGTTCAGTAGCGTTTGGTTGTATTCCTCTTACTCAAAGGCCTGTTTAGTTACCTTTTATGGTAGGAACTGGGTTAAAGTTGTATGTATTTGAGCCTTTTCTAGTAATAAAGAAGGAAATGGAGATTTTAAAAGCCCAGAAAATATTAAAACAGACTCCCATCTTGTGTGATTGTTTCTTAGATAGTGGATTATTCTACTGAACAATGTACTCTGTCGTGTGTACAGTATGTATTATGACTCATTCTTTGCGATTCCAGTACTCAAAGGATCAGTCATTAAATTTATATAGTCTGGACTCTGGGCAGCCTTGGCTGCATGTATAGTCTAAATGCTTGTATGAGGAAAGCTCAGTGATCGTTGTGCAATCCCCTTTGAAGTTACATAGTTACGATTTAAGGCTGTGTTTTGTGTGTGTTGGTCTCCTTAGTCCACAGCCTCTCATGATTTACACAGATGAAATAGAAAAAGGAGGTTTTAAGGTAAGAGGTTTTAAGGCTTCTGACTCAGAAGCAGTTTGGTGAGACAAGGCTGCACAGCATCACCTCAGACTAGGGAAGGCCATGATGAGTCGACATACATACAGCTGGGATGTGGAAGTGTGGCGTGAGCAGAGCATTGGGAAATGGATAGGAAACCACTGGAGGTGATGATATGTTCTTATGGTGTGGCTGCCACACTCAATCAGAGGATTAGGAAAACCCTGGGAGAGGGGTTTGAAGAAGGATTTTAGCAGAGACGGAGTGAAGGTAGGTAAGAGTAAGTTCTAGCTATAACCCAGAGGTAGCCATAAGGCAGACATACAGAGGAAAGAGATGATGAGGCTGGATGATTGTGTTTGGGATCAGGAGTATGCACAGGTGTAAATGTATTTGCTCTTGTCACATTGTTTTATGGAAAGTGAATCAGTAACAAATTGAGTGAAATGAAACAAATGTTAGAGCTCAATCCTGCCAGGAGCTAAGCATCTCCTGGAAGAGCGGAGAGCCTTCAGCTCCCAATTAAATTCACCCCTGTGCATAGTGGCAGCACAAGGTCTGTGCAATACTCACATGAGCACTATTTTGAGAGCATAAGTGGCACATATGCCCATTGTGCTAACCCTTTTCACAGGAGAGAATTTCACTCAAACTGGAAGATATTTAGTGAGTGAAACAGGGATAAGGGGTTCTGTTATAACTGATTTTAAGGGATAAGAACATAAGAACGGCCATACTGGGTCACACCAAAGGTCCATCTAGCCCAGTATTGTGTCTTCTGACAGTGGCCAGTGCCAGGTGCTTCAGAGGGAATGAACAGAACAGGTAATCATCCAGTGATGGTTTACATTGTTCTGTTTTATTCTATGTTCCATCATTCTGATAATTTTATCTCTTGCTTTTGTTTCTTTGTTATAAGTATTTTATAGCACTTAGTTGTGGGTTTTTGTGGTTTGTCTGTAATACAAAGGAAATTATATTAAAAAAAAAAGTATTAGCACAAACACGTCGCAGATATGTTCTCAGTTATATCACTGAGTAAAGTGACTTGTTGTCGTGCTTTCCAACGACAAGTACTTGCAATAACTTGTAATTCTCCAAACAAGAAGATTCCCTCCCCCTACACTTAGGGGTGCAAATACACTGGTGCACTCAACTAGATGGCAGCGGCTCCATGTCTACCTAATTATTTCTGTGCTCTTGTTTAGGATCCCAGTAGGTTCTATGCTTTTGAGCACCACCTGGTGAAAATATCCCCATGCACACATGTGTAGCATTGCCAGTTAGATGGGAAGCATTGCATATTTTACAGCATATCCTTTTGATAGCTAGCTAATGTAACCAAAGGAAGGAATACTGCACCAGCAGAGGAGCAAAGGAGAAGGGTACTACCTCGTCTGCCCCCAAAATAATTTCATTTAAGGGAGTCTGATCCACTGACTTTAATGGAGGTTGGGTCAGGCCTGGGTTAGATCCCAAGCAGCACTGGTGGCAAGAGGATTGATAATAGAGTAATTCTTCTAGTATCCAGGTCTGAATCAAATGATTCATCTTCTCCTATCAGTTAGTGAACTTCCCCTTTTCTGCAACTAGTCTGCAGTGTGTGAGGCGTCTTCTGTTACCTGCCTAGATCAATAATATTGGCACTGGAGTTTTGGTCTGTTTTTGAGAGGCATCACGACCGAACTTTAGCAATAATTGTAAATTTGCTTGAGTCCACCTGCCTTCCCAAAGTACTAAAGGAGACATTCATGCCACAGGCAGGAAATCAGTTAGACCTGGATTTTAGAGAGACAAGGTAGGTGAGGTAATATGTTTTTTTGGACCGACTTCTGGTAGTGAGACCAACTTCTGCTTAAGCGTCAAAGCCTTATCCAGCCATGGGAAAGGGCCTGGCTTCAGTGTGTGATGATGGTAGCACTTTGTCTGCTTTTAGCTGAGCCCCTTCCTAGATGTGGAGGTTAGTGCTACCTCTCCCATTAGTACTCAAATGCCTGTTGCCTTCAGAGAATTAATAAAAACAAGTACAATCCCTGTTTTCCCCTTAGAAGTCAGTATCAGGGCACGCTTGTGCCTCACTGGCAAACCAGAATGTTTGGCTTGGGATCAGAAACATGCTTTTGGAAATTAGTAAGAAGCTTTCCTAGAAATATTCTTGTGATTCTTACCTCACATGTCTACCAGCCAGACTGAAGGATGGATCTATCCCGGGGTGGGCAAACTTTTAGGTCTGAAGGCCGCATCGGGTTTCCAAAATTGTATGGAGGGCCGGTTAGTGGAGGCTGTGCCTCTCCAAACAGCCAGTCGTGATCCGGCCCCAGCCCCGCCCCCTATCTGGCCCCTCCTGCTTCTCACCCCTGACAGCCCCCCCAGAACTCCTGCCCCATTCAACCCCCCCATTCCCTGTCCCCTGACAGCCCCTGAACACCTGCCCCTGACTGTCCCCCGCCACCCCATCCAACCCCTCTTCTCATTCCTGACTGTCCCCACAGGACCCCTGCCCCATCCAACCACCCCTTCTCCCTGACCACCCCTGGAACCCCTGCCCCTGACTGCCCCCTCCTGCCCCATTCAACCCCCCCATTCCCTGTCCCCTGACAGCCCCTGAACACCTGCCCCTGACTGTCCCCCGCCACCCCATCCAACCCCTCTTCTCATTCCTGACTGTCCCCACAGGACCCCTGCCCCATCCAACCACCCCTTCTCCCTGACCACCCCTGGAACCCCTGCCCCTGACTGCCCCCTGCTGCCCCATCCAACCCCCTGTCTCATTCCTGACTTCCCCCACAGGACCCCTGCCCCCATTCAACCCCCTCCCTGCCCTCTGACCTCCCCGACCCCTATCCACACACACCCCCGCCCCCTGACCATCCTCCTGTACTCCCCTGCCCTCTATCCAATCCCCCTGCTCCCTGCCCCCTTACCGCGCTGCCTGGAGCACCGGTGGCTGGCGGCGCTATAGCCGTGCCGCCCGGCTGGAGCCAGCCACGCCACCGCACAGCACAGCACAGCACAGAGCCAAGCCGGGCTCAGCAGCTGCGTTGCCTCAGGAGCTTGAAGCCTTGCCACCCAGAGCATTGCGCCGGCGGCGGAGCGAGCTGAGGCAGCAGGGGAGGGGGGGACTGCAGGGGAGGGGCCGAGGGCTAGCCTCCTGGGGCAGGAGCTCAGGGGCTGGGCAGGAGGGTCCCGTTGGCCGGATGTGGCCCGCGGGACGTAGTTTGCCTCCCCACCCCTGATCTATCCTCTCCCATGTACCCCAGCCTCAGATTATAGTTCCAGTTCGATAGCTCCAGATATCTAAATATGGGAGTGTTGAAAAAATCTGAACAATAAATAGTAATTAACCTGGCAGTCACTGGAAAGTGAACAAGTGGGAACAGCTGACCCTCATTCATAACCTGCCCGATGTAGAGGAATCTGGTTCTCCACCCATGGAATAGCTCGCAAATCCCAGGAGAGTAAACTGTCAGAATATTTCATGGTTGTGATAGGATGATCCCACCAAACAGGGGAGGTTAACAAATTGAAACATATTCTAGTCCTCCAAAGGAAGATTCATGACAAATGAATCACCAACCCCTCCAGGGGAAAATTCAACAAGGCAACCATTAGATCTTCAATAGACCTTTTAATTCACATTCTAGCCCAGCCTTCCATCTGGACAGATACCTTAGCTACCTACGCTAACTAGAAATACTAAGTCCCCTTATTGTGAGGGATTCACAAGCTTGTGACAGCTGCTAAGTAGTGACAGGTAGTTGAGGCAGGAAAAAGCTTCCATGTCCCATGTTGATAAGGAAGTTGGGTCCAACTTCTTGGGGAGTATGGACTGGGGTAGGAGGAAGTCTGGCAACATCAGAGCTAGGGTTGCCATAATTTAAATTTAGATATATAAAGCCATTGTTATAAACTGGTGGAGGTTATCCGAGACCTACTTCCTTCCTAACACTTCCCACATAAGTCTTGGCTACCTTAAGACTCGGGACTGTCTTTGAAAACATCCACAAAGAACTTTGTGGATTTATTCATGTTCTGCATCCATAGTTGACTAAAAAGACTTAAAACAAAAACTGGCCTCAGTTGATCTTTGGTTTAAAAATCACACAAGAAAAATGCTTAATCCAGGTTTAAAAGAAAAAAGGCCAGGGGGCATTTCTTAATTCCAGCTCATTTTCAGCTTGTTCTCGATAAGCGCATTACCTTCTTAATTAAATTTTTGCCTATTAATTTTGCTTTGCTTTATTAAACCCTCCTGTGTACCTCTAGGAAGGAGTCTCTAGAGGGAGCTAAAAGCCTTTTGAAAGGAAGCAGTGTGATTTATCAATTTGTCAAAACCTCAAGTCTGCTGCTGCAATGAGCAGCAACATACTGTCAGCATACCCTGAACACAAAAGAAAGGCATTTGTCCCTCTCTAGGAGGAACACTGTGTGACTTCACTTCCTTGTAGAATTTACTACCTGATTACAGGAATTTGTCACTCATCTCAGAAAAATATTAGTCCCCTTTTCAGACTTGTTCCCTAACCATACATTGCTCATAAATTACTTAAAATATATAGTCTAAAAAGCCTATGTCTGATGGCCTCAAAGATCCAATGCAGGCAATTGCCCTTCTAAATCTTAAGACTTCTGTCTTTCAGCAGTGTGGATTTCCACACTTTTAACTTGTGATGTCTAAATCAACAAATTTCATTTTTACTACCTGAAGAATCTGGCTATATCCTAAGAGTTAAAGGTCCTAGTTTGAATGCTACTTAAACATAGTTATATCCACACAGAATCCACTGAATTCTGGGGGAGTCCCTGTGGGAGTAACTTTACAGTGGGGTGTAGCTGTGTAGAATCCAGGGACTTGGGGTCTAAGCCTATGACCTGTACTCTGCATTACAATCGACCCTGTTGAAAGAACTGGATTTCCTCCAGTGCACTGAGCTGTAATACTTACATATGTTAATAAATGCCCCCAGGTACTCCAAGCTGTACAGACATGAATATTTTCTTCATTCACAAGTCTGTTGGCAAACCTAATTCCATATTCTGCTGTTCGACTTCTGTGATCTGAGGATCCATATTTCAATAAACAACATCTCTTGGGTTGCAGAGAACAAAAACATTTCCCCTCATTACACATTAAATAAAAGGCCCTCTGACAGCTGCTGCTTCTGATCCCTGCTGTGATTAATTGGCACCTCCAGGAGCAGCGCTCATCCTCTCAGTCAAGGAGGGGAAGAGCTGCCCCTGGGTTTGACTGAGCAGAACCAGAGGCTCGGTGAGAAATAGTAGTGTAGTGATAGGTTCTTTAAGTGTCCGTGAGTCTTGGAGGGAAAATGGGCATTCTAAATCTTCTCTTCTACCCAACAAAACATTCTCCCCAGTCATCTGTCCTGTAATTGTGTTCCTTGCTGTGGCAGGTATGAGTTTATGTAGTTGTACCAAAGGAACCTGACACCACCAGAAGGGTACTTTCAAAGTATCAGAATCATGACAGTCTTTTTCCAAAGAATAAACCAGAGCAACAGCATTGGATATAAGTGTTTCAGAAACTTTATCAGCAACATCACAGACACAGGATCAATATGTATGCAGCTGTGATGAACTAAAACAAAAGAGGAAATAGGAATTATTTGTATTAAAGTAATGCCTAGAGGCCACAATTAGATCAAGGGCTCATGTGTATGAACAGTAAAAGGAAGCCTATGCCCTAGGGAGATTGTCATTTATTATTTGTTCTGATGGAGGATAATATATTTTGCAGAGGATTATGGGGAATATGTTGTGAGGGGCACACTGGAAGAAAGAACAAAAGTGCTAGTTTGAAAACTTCAAAAGTGAGCAATGGAGGCTAGCATTATGAGCTCATTGACTATCGAGACATTCACTCCCACCTCCAATGAGAGAGAATATAAAGGGTGAGGACAAGTTGGAAAGGGCCTTGAAAGTAAAGACTGGTATCTTATGTTTGATGTGATGATCTTAATGGAAAACTGATGGATTATCTTGATCCACATTATACCTCCCTTATTTGAAGCTTTGCCCTTATACGGTGGTCTAGTGGCTCCCAGTGGTGCCACTTAAGATGGCACCAGCATTTGCATTATACTTTTTTTTTATCCAACTATAAAAAATACTTTCCAAGCTAAAACTTGGCATGTAATTTCCCCTCTGTGTGTGTGTGTGTGTGTGTGTGTGTGTGTGTGTGTGTTGTTTACTTTTTCCCAAAAACAGGTTTATTAGGCTGCATTTTGTACACTTGCAAATATTAAAGTACACAGTGAGGTTGCTATCCTGTTACTGACTGCATGCAGGCACAAACGACTGGCATGCAATTTCTTTCCCCATGTCTAATTTGCCCATACTTGCTGATTCAGGGTCTTAAACAATCCAGAGTGTTGTACTATTGACCAGCTGATAATAGGGACTGTGCGGTAGTTTTTAACCTTACCTTCCAACCATACGTCTCAATTCTTCCTCGTTACGATGGACATGCCTCATTTAAGGCATGCATTTTCCTCCACCTCACAGAACTCTTGTCCTACGTGTTCAAAAGTGACTAGGGATTTTGGGTACCTCTATTTTTAGGGTGCTTCAAGGTATCAAAAAAGTGCTGATTTTTTTTTCCGAAATGTTGAGCCTTTCAGATGTTTTAAGTTGAGCAATGAAGAACTGAGAGCCACTTTTTTTGAAAATTTAGATACAGAGAATGTGTATGCACCTCTGCTCCTACATGCATGTGCACACAGCGTGGGTATATAAACTTTGCCATTTAGATGAAATCTTTGGGGAAATCTTGGACTTCATCTTACTGCAGTTGTTTAATTGCAAGTTTTATTTAGGTCAAAGTAGTTAGAGCAAAATGTACAATCTTGTTTTCCTTTGGCAGATTTCCCTCTACTGTACAGCAAGAGAATTGGGCTTCATTCACAGGAGACCTCTACCAGATCTCAGAGTGCTCTTGAAGATTGTGTATCCCAATCACAGGTATGAAGGAAAACTCTTAGTAAAATAGCAGTAACAAAACAGTTATGTCTATCTCTCTCTCTCTCTAAGATACTTCTATGGCTCCCGTTACTGTGCTATCTGAGCACCTCAATCTTTTAAACACTCTTTTTCTCTGAGCACCCCTGCGAGGTAGGGAAATATTGTTATCCTCATTTTATAGGTGGTGACCTGAGGCACAGAGAGGCTAAGGGTAAATTTTTCAAAAGCACCTGAGGGGATGTCTACACAGCATTTTGGATTGAGCCTCCCAGCCTGGGTCGATAGACTCAGTCTAGCAGGGCTTGAGCAAATGCTCCAAAAACAGCTGTGTAGAAAGTGATTTGAAGTGGTAGCTTGGGCTGGAGCTTGGGGTCAGAGTCTGAGTCTATTGATCTGGACTGGGAGGCTCACTCCAAAATGCTGTGTAGATAAAACCTAAGTGACTTGGGCACTTAAGTCAGATTCTTTCAATGGGACTTGGGCACCTAAATTAGTCACTTATGAAAAATTTGCCATGCAACTTGCCTGAGGTCATACAGGTAGTTTGTAGTAAAGCAGGGACTTGAATCCACGTCTCCCAAGTCCTAGGTTAGTGTCCTAACCACTGGACTATTAATTAAACATGATTTAAAACAATACTTTACCTCAAGGCTTTGTCATAAGATTTAGAGCCTTCCATATCTATGGCACTAGTTCAAACCCAGTCCGGGACAGGAACTGAGCATCGCCTGGGGGCTGATCAGTAAAATGCTTTTGGTGATCTTATTTCAGATAACAGCAGAAACGTCTCCACATTAGAAACCTCTACTGCCATAACTGGTACTAACTGTCATTCTTGTTAGAAGTCTGAGCAGAGTGGATTGAATGGACATATTTATTAATTGGCATTTCTATGGCATTCATCACTGTAATATCGGAGGTCCTCACAAATGTTAATTTAGCCATCAAAACTCTACTGTGAGTCCGGTAATAATTATTATTGCTCCCATTTTACAGATGGGAAAATGAGGCACAGGAAAGATTAATGACTTGCCCAAATTCACATGGGACAGAGGTGGAAATAGAAACCCAGATCTCCTGACTATCTGGTCCTGTGCCTTAACCACAAGGAACATCTTTCCTCCTCAAAGCATGGAGAATGACATTCTTCACTTCTAAAAGGAAACCTCCAGGTTAGGGCTTGGGCACATTGGCTGGACAATGTAGGAATCTTGCAATGGTACTGTCTGAATTGCAGGTACCGTGAAGGTTTCAGTATCCAGAACTGTAACTGACACAATTTGTATGTCCATTTAATAGCGTGTAAATCTATCATCTTGCATTTCCCATTTGTTGCTGGGTTGCTTCAGTCATTCCTGGCTGCACTACACAAAAAACAGTGCAATATTTCTGAAGCAGCCAGATAAACTGTGCCACAGTGTTCTGTGTTTGCTTTAAACTGTGCAGCTGAAATATACAGAAGAAGAGGGTGGGTCATCTTTTGTTTATAGTCCTGTAGCCTGGAGAGATTCTTTCCAAGAAAAATATTGAAGGAAGGACTACTTAAGAAAGTAAAGATAGCATCCACTCTCAGTATAGGTTAACGTTAGGCCAATTTAGAGTACCAATTTACAATGCTATTCTCAATCCTAGATTACAAAAATATAGCACTTGGGAAAGGGAAAATAGCAGACAGTATTTCTTCTTACTGGATGGGTTTTTGTGTGTGCACGAGTGTGTGTGTGCGCGTGTGCACACATGTACCTGTACATATTCAGCTTTATTTGGGACAGTATATTTTGGCATGATTTATTTTAAAATTCCACATAAATAAAAATTATTAGCTATAATTTATACCACTTAAATAACCATTTCATACACTCCATACAGTTGACATCTCACAGCAAACCACCAGAAATTGCAAGAGGACTTTTCAAACCCTACATCCCAGTGTTGCAAAGAAAGGCAAAAGCCAAAGAAACACCTGAAGAAATCCACCAATATGTGCCCCATCACCCACTTCAGAACAGTACTACTGGATCTCCATTGATGCATTCTGGAAATGTTACTTCAGTGGCTAATCTATATAAGCATAGAGATGAAAATGGTAACAATGAGGAATATAATGTAGGTAACTTGAATGAGAGTGAAGAATGTACCACCAGAACAGGGGCCTTCAACAGAAAAAATATAGATTTGTCCTCTCTAGACACAGAAAAAAAAGAAGAAAGAAATCCAAGACAGCTGAAAGAACAGCCTGACCTAGAAATAAATGAAATAAAAAAACAGATAAGGAACAAATTAATGCTTGGTGCAGAGCAGCAATCCAAATTACTTGATTTGAACAATGCAGATCTAGGTGGAACAAAACCAGAACATCAAAGCCAAAGAATGCTGGAAATTTCAGAATGGAAGGATGTTGATGGTAATAGGGGAAAAAACATATTCAAGCAATCCAGTCTTTCTGTGCCTCTTCCATTTGCAAATGATGCTTTGCCAACTTTGTCAGCAGACACAAAAGATATTCCAAAGAGTCCAGACAGTTCTGTAGAAGAACATCTGTCTAGCCAACCAAAATCACCATTGAAACTAATTGCCAATGCAATAAAGAGATCCATTCTAGAACCTCTTGTGTCTCATCCAGAAAGCATAAAAAAGAACCCAGACAGTAAAGCCAACCCTACTTCAGAACACACCTTTTTCAATTCCCCTAATACCTTTGGCCACTCTGTACGTTTAAAGAACAGTAACGGTAATAGAGAACATGACGTACAACCACAAGAATCTAATGGACTGGAAACTAGAAGCTCAGTCACAAACCCACCTAGTCTTTCCTGTAGTCTTGAAGAGAAATCTTCATGTGATTCCACAGAGGTATTGCTTCCGGTTTACAGTTTGCACACAGGTCCTTCCAAAGCTGCTGTTAAGCCTGAAAATTCATCTGGTGCAAAGACGGAGGATGTACCCAGACTCCTAGAAAACTTTACTCTCAAAGAAACTCCACTGAGGGCTTCCACTGATGACTTATGTATCTGTAACCAGAAGAACCTTCCTTTTTCATCTCTAAGTCTCAAGAACAAAACTTCCGAGGACATCCTTGGAGATCCTGCACAAATAAATATCTGCTCGCTCTTTAGTAACTTGAGGAATAAAGTCAATGAAAGGGAAAAGAACGATTCCTTAAAGTCATCTATGTCCTTCATTAACAACTTTTCCCCAGAAAAAGTGCTAAATAATCCTTCCACTGATGAGGACTCAGGTAAATAGGATTGTTCATTTTAAATAATACAATTTTTTTAAGTTTAATATACATATGCATGAATTATTGTAAACAATTTCTTTGCCTTTTATTTTGTGTGTGTTTATTTTGAAGTTATGCTATTTAAGGAAAATTTAAGAAATGTTAATTTTAATTAAGAATATTGATTAAAACTTGGAAGATGATTGAAGCATTTAACAGGAGAAAAACGTACTGCTAACCAAGGATCAGAGGTCCAGGCTCAAGTCTGGTTCTCTGTTCCTTTGGGTTCAGACATGACTGTGATAAGCGCAATGTAAATACTGAGATAGAAAGACAGGTGGGATGGAAAATTTTGTAGAGGCTACCTGAGGAGTAATGGTTGCCATGATGTTAAATGTTCTGATGGAGGAGGGATCAAGCAGGCAAAGTTAAAAGCCTAGGAGAGGAGGGCAGAAGATCCCACTGTAGGAAAGAGGGAAAATACCAGTTATTTATGTTTCAGAGTAA